TCATTATGGGGATGGGGTACTATTACAGTATTTACGTAAGTAAGAAAGTAAGAAAGAAAGTAGGTAAGTAAGAGAAATTAGAGTTTTTTTGAAAGCATAAAAATGAGAGCAGAGTAGAGCAGATGGTTGTTTGAAGGTAAAATCAAAAATTCAAAACTCAAATCCGTTTCTACTTTACTCAAAACCCAAAGGATTGAACTGATCTCTAGTTGACGTCAATCTTTTCCCCTTTTCATTTCCTCTCATTTCAAACTTCTTCCATACAAATGCTCGTCAATCTGTGTGTATGGGGTGAAAATCTTGCTCTAATCCCAGGTGTGGACCCCTTTCCCCATCCCATCCCTTCAGTGATCTCTTCCACCTTCCTTCTGATCTTTTTCCTCCCCCCCTTTCACCCACCCAATCCCTGGAATTAATCCTTCCCCCTCCCAGTTTCCCTTTTTTTTCTTTATCCCAATCCATTTCACCCCAGATTATTTCATTTTCACATCTCATTCTTGTTTACAACTTTGATTCTTGATGTGGAAAATGATGCTTTCAGTCTTTACATTTCATTTTAAATCGATCACTGATTGTTTATCTAGATTCTTTTATGTTTTTCAATCGCTTAGAATCGCTTAGAATCGCTTAGAATCGCTTAGAATCGCTTAGAATAGCTTAGAAGTCAATTTTGCCTTAATTTATCAATTCCTAGAATTGAGAAGTGATTTTTGAAACCTGTTCTTTGTTCAATAGCTTGAGTATTTCTGGATCCTGTTCAATATTTCTTTTATTTCTTCAGAGATCTCAAAAAAAGGAAACTTTAATCAAAGTTCTCTTGTTGATTTTGTCTAGAAAAATCCTTTTTAAAGCATTCTTCACCCGTTCATTTTTCACTAAAAAGCTCTTTATTGGGATTTTTCTTTGATGCCGATTATTTCACTCTTTTTCAGCAGATCATTGTCAAATTTAGATGAATGATCTTGATTTGAAAGAACAGAATAACGAGTATCTCAAAAAATCTTAATCAGTTCAAGCCACTGATCAGTTGGATAGTACAGAGGAAACCGGGGGAATTTTCCTGAACGTCAATAGGTGCCCAACAAAAAAAATGCCATATCTTGCCCGTTTTTAATAGAATCTTTTTGATTTTGATTTCAATCGATAGAAAATTGAATTCTGCCTCAATTGATCTTAAAATCAAAAAGATCGGAGTGAAATTCGTTGAGATATGCTATTTTTTCGTTGGACACCTATTGACATCTTTCTTCCATTTCCTAGAAAATTCCTAGATCTAGTAAAGAGTCGGATCTGGCTCATGGATTGATTTGAGATCTAGCCAGAATCTGGCTTGGTCTACTCTAGAGTTAGACGGATCTGGACCCAGATCTTTACGCAAGAATACAAAGAACGTTACGGCTACGCTATACTACTAAAAACGCCTACACAACGGTCCTATGAACTCGCTATTGGGGTGTTCTTTGTTCTGTGCGTCTAGATCCGGATCCGGATCCACCCAGCTCTGGTCCATGCCCGACTTCAAGCCAGCTTTCATCTGATCCAGGTCTTTCCTTTGTCTGACTTGAGTAAGAAAACTAAAAACTTGAGTAAGGACTTTCAAATTCCCGTTTTACCTACATTTTTCCCAATCTATACACCATTTTTGAGCCCGTTCCCCATCTTTTTGTTCTTGTTAACTTAAAATTCTTTAGTTTTTTTTTCACTCGTTCGCTTCTCAGCTAGAGCTTCTCAGCTAGGGCTTCTCAAATATTTTCCCCTCAAAAAAAAGCGAAGCGCGGGCGGATTTCCAAAGAAGTGACCCAGGAAGAAGCGGCCATTCAGAAAAAAGATTTTTTTTTCGCTTAAAAAAGCGAAATTTCTGAGGTGAATTTTTAAGTTTCACCTTTCTTTAGGTGAAAATTTTAAAAACGGAAAGAGAAATTTATGCAGAATTAGAAAAGAAGCTAACCCAAGACTTCTTTTAAAAGAAAACATTTTCTTTTTCTTACTCAAACTATTTTTAGCCTTACATCATTGTTAGCATAAAAAAGCAATTGAGAAATCTTTTCTATGAATCATTTTCTGAAGGTTTTGAAGAGATTTCTTTCATAAGGCGATTTAATGCAAATTTCACTTGTTTTCTACAATCTTTGCCATGATTTTTGCCATTAGCTCATAGATAATAGACTTGATCCAGTCAGAAATAGACTTGGAACAAGGCTTATAGCTAGGCTAAGGCATGAAAAGTATCTAGAGATCTATAAACCGTTTCTAGGCCAACCATAAGCCTAAAATTTCTCTCTTTTTCTACGATCTTTGCCATGATTTTTAATTAAAATTTTGCAAGAATTATAGAATTTTTAGATTTTTTAAGGTGCAATCCTGAAAGTTTTGGTTTTTTTTGTTTGAAAAAATGGGATTTAGATAGATATGTGCTCTTTGAATCATTTCCAGAAATTTCCAAACATTTCCAAACGTTCCCAGACAAATCAAGTCAGGGATTTTTGTTTTAAATCTTTAAAACCGGAATACTTTGACATTAGCTCATAGATAATAGACTTGATCCAGCGAGAACTAGACTTGGAACAAGGCTTGTAGCTAGGCTAAGTCATGAAAAGTATCTAGAGATCTATAAATCGTTTCCAGGTCAACCATAAGCCTAAATCAACTCAAATCTATCTAATCCTTGCACAAGTCTGATAGTCAGATTATAAAGGAATTCTAGTCTAGAAAAGTTAAACCAGAGTCAAGCTCGAAGCACAGGTCAGAAGCCAGTCAAGGTTCAGAGCTTCAGGAATTGTTTATAGGCTAACCAGGCATTACTATAAACAATTCCTAGAGCCTGGGCTAGGTTTCTGGCTCTGGCTATAGTTTTAATTACTTCCAAAAACTTCTGCATACTTCTTAAGCTCAATTTTCTTCGAAAATTTATTTATTTATTCTTTGCTGAACAAAAATCTGCGAAAAATATGATCATTCAGGAAAAAAAGGAAAAAAGGCGAGAATTCATTAGGCTTGTTTACTTGCGAACTCTTGAAAGAAAAAGAAAAACGAAAAGAAAATCGACCATATCTAGAAAACTTGATGGAATAGGCTGATTTTCTTTTGCGCAATAGGGTCATTTGCGCAAATTCTGTTTTCATTTGTTTTTGGGGCTTTTATGGGGTAGGCTAATTTCCGTCATTTTATTTGCGCAACTCGCCATAACTTTCTTCTAAGTGAGCCAATCTTTATGATTTTGGTGTCATTTTGTAGATCTCAAGAAGTGCAACAAAATAAAACCAAAACCATAAAGATTGGTCGATTTACAAGCCTCATCCTGAGCTTTTCGGGGTAGGCCATTTTATCTTCTGCCATTTGATTTGCGCAACTCGCCATAACTTTCTTCTAAGTCGACCAATCTTTATTATTTTGGTTTGATGTTGTTGCACTTATTGAGATCTACAAAATCAAACCAAAATCATAAAGGATTAGCCCACTTCGATTAGCCCAGCGAGGTAGGCCCGGCCGCCAAATTTTTTGCGCAACTCACCATAACTTTCTTCTAAGTGAGCCAATCTTTATGATTTTGGTTTCATTTTGTAGATCTCAAGAAGTGCAACAAAATCAAACAAAAATCATAAAGATTGGTCGACTTAGAAGAAAGTTATGGCGAGTTACGGAAATTAGCCTATCCCAATTTGATAAAGCATCTATTTTAAAATATATTTTTATCAAATAGATTGTTTATTTTATTGTTTATTGCTGATTGTTTATGAATTTTATTGTATTTTTATCTTTTTTAAAGTCTTACTGTACCTTTTTCAAGCCTAAAAATTGCAAAAATTAAAGACCACTTGAAAGGCATCAAAAATAATAAAAATTACAAAAATTTCTAAAAACCAATCTTAAAATATTTGCTTAATTGAATATTTTTTATATTTTATTTCCTTTGTTCTTGAAAACTTATTATTTTTTTTCAATCATAAACGTTTTACGCAGTCTTCAACTCTCTTATTATCTTTATCTCTATTTTTGCTTTTCTTTTTGTTCTAGGTAATCCCCACATCGAAAAATGTTCCACAAATGAGTATTCAGTTAAAGAATTGAAAGCTTGTGTTGATTTTGTTCATTATTAAATTCATTTTGAAATACTTAGTCTAGACGGTTGAATGGTTTGGCTAAAGCTGATAGAAAGGGGTAGGCTAATTTCCGCAATTTTTTCTTTGCGCAACAGGGTCATTTGCGCAACTCGCCATAAATTCCTTCTAAGTCCACCAATCTTTATGGTTTTGGTTTTATTTTGTTGCACTTCTTGAGATCTACAAAATGACATCAAAATAATAAAGATTGGCTCACTTAGAAGAAAGTTATGGCGAGTTGCGCAAACAACCCAGTTGCGCTTCCCTTCTATGAAAACATTTTTGAAGCTCTACGACCTTTCCTAAGGCCTTTTCCAGCAAAAAAAAGGTGCGCAAATGTCCAGGTGCGCAAAAAAAAGGTCGCATTTGTCCCACCCCGATAGAAAAGCTAATGCCTTGCTTATTTTGCGTATTCTTTTCCCATTTTACATTATAGTTTTTTTTGTTCTTGTAATTCGCAATCTTTTTTTAAACTATAGTATGCCTAGTTTTCGTTGAGAAAGCTAAAAACCTTTTTGAAAGATTTGCCTTATCAACTAAATATTTTATTCAGATACGCTTTCACTTTCTTTATCTTTATCTTTATCTTTCATTTATCTCTATTTCAGATAAAGTATTTAAATTTTACAGTGTTTTAAAATATTCAGTCTAGAGCAATGAACATTTTACAATGGTTCATTGCTTTTTACAACAATGGTTCATTGCTTTTTCTGAGTGCTTCGGCACTTTTAATTTCTTTATCTTTATCTTTCTTTATCTTTCACTTTCTTTATCTTTCACTTTCATTATCTTTCATTTATCTATTTTTTTAATATGTTTTCTTTTTTAAATACAGTACTTCTACTATTTACAGCTTAGAGAATAATTTAAATATTTTCAAATTTCAGATATAAAAGTACAATGAACGAAACCGGTGAACCCTCGTCTTCGTGTCGTCATCCAGAGGTTTGAAATTTTTTTTTTAATTTACTCAAAATCCACTTAGAATTAAGTGATTTTATGGAAAAATCAGTGCTTTTATCAATGAGTCAAAAACCTTTTCTTTCTTTTTGTTCTTTTTTTGGAACACTTTCACGCAGAAAATCATAAGATACAGATTCTCACGATAATTGATACCTTTTGAGAGAATAGAATCCGTTTTTTTTCGTGTCCATTTTCGGAAATCTTTGCATTTTTGAATTTGAATGAAAAAAAAAGTCAAAAAATGGCTTTGGACTTTTGCTAAATCTTTGGGTTTTTGGAGCCGGAAGCAAAATTTTGGGTTAAAAAGCCGACTCTATAATTTTACTATCTGTAGAGAGTTTTATAGTATCTAGATATGTAAATTGATCGTATAGCTACAGTATGCTAGGGTAAAGTGTCTAGTTTTGATTTGTAGCTAGAGTACTAATTAAACCCAGTTGGATATGTCGGTTCTTTTATGGGTTTGGGGCTGGGAAAACAAAAGAAAAGTCACTGCCGGGATTCGAACCCGCGACCTTATCGGGGCAACCCGACTACCGGGCGAGCCCTTTACCAGTGAGCTACAACGACACGCGTCGGGCTGCCGCCAGGGTAGGACCTTATCCCTTACTTCGCGTTTTTAAGTAATTTTTTTGTCTAAAAGTTGCTTAAAAAGCTACCATACTCCGGGCAACTTTACGACCCATCGTCAATAGTACTGTATCGAAATTTTCTAGATAATCTCCGCCGGCGAGATCATGCACTTTGTGTCAATCGCCGACCACGCGTTGCTCTTCTCATCCATTGTGAGGGGTTTTATTATTTACTAAAATGCACTTGGTCTTATAAAGTGTACTGTAAACTGTAAACTGGTCTTGTAAACTGTCAAATTCTCCCAATTTTCAACATCAATGATTCAATTTTCCATGTTTTCCACAAAAATAGTGAAAATTTTCTATGAAATTTACTTATTTCCCTCATCAACTAATCCCTTTTGTTCAGTGGGCACGAGTTGCGACAAAAAAAATGAAAGAAAAATGAAAGAAAAGAAAAGTATGTGAGAAAAGGATGATTGCCGCTGTTTTTCTCGTCAAATATTCATCACTTAAGAATGTTCGTCGTGAAATTTACAGAAACTTGTTGACAAAAAGTTGTTCGAACATTTTAGTTTGGGAAATTTTAGATCTTTGAGCTTTTTGGATGATTGCACATTATGGCGCACCGGGCAGAAAGAGGCTGGTTGCCAGAGAGTTTGGGTTTGCAAGAGCGCGAAGTACTAGCTAGATTTTGCCCGATTCACAGTGCAACGAAGAAGCTAATGTATCAGAGACGGCGTTTATTGGAGCGCAAAGTATATGCTCGCTTTTAGATTATTTCATACTTTGTGCGCTTGCAAATGCTCATCTACTAGCAAACGAGAAAATTAAAGTAATGTTAAACCTGTGACCCTTACCTTACCAGCTTACCGGGCGAACGCTCTACTAATGAGCTACACCGACAAGTATCTATTGTCGCCAATTGTAGAGTCTTATGCCTTACTTCCATCTCGATCCCAGTTCGCTCACCCTTTCAACAAAGTTCAGAGCTAGGTCCAAGGTTGAGTCTGCATGAGAATGAAAAGAATGAATGGAAAGGGAAAGACTTGTTGATTATCTTAAGAAAAAGAGCCTCAAAAGATTTATTCTTTAGCCTTCAAAGATAAGAGGGAAAGATCTCTTTGTAGGTGTTGGTTTAAGTATACCAGAAAGTGGATGTTTATCAAAGTACAAAGTACGGATTACTTAAGAAATTTGAAATTTTTAAAGTCTAAAGTTTCCTAGCACTTAAAAGAGCAAATTTATCATAAACCGAGCTGTTATTTTATTAGTTATTTATTATTATTTTATTATTTATTTATTATTATTTTATTATTTAGTTATTATAATTATTTAAACTCGAGAAAATCTCAATTTTTTTACATGAAAGCTTGATGTTTACCCGAAGAGAGAAAGAGAAGTGGCTGGTTTTAAATCCTGCTAATTATAGGGATTTGAAGAATCCGTATGAATCCGTACTTCTGAATACACAACTTTTGCCACGTCTTTTCAAAAGCACATGAAAACCCTTCTAAAAGTGATGAGTGAAAATGAAATATGGAAAATATTATTCTCGTGCTTTGATTGACTTTTTATATCCCTAGAACAACATTGAGGCTATTTTTTCTCTGTTTATTTCTGTTTATCTTTTTTAATCATAAAATTTTTGCAGATCTCGTCAATCCTCCAAATCTACGTCATCCGATCAGCTCTCTCACATTTGCGGCGACGGGCCAGTGATGAGTGTCTTCATTTGTTTCTCCTTTCTATGACGGCTGGTGATCTTATACTTACAGGTTGGGGGTTTTTTTTGGTTTAAAATCCAATATTCTGATTGCTGTTTTAAAAAGAAATTTGCTTTTTGCAAGGGTTTTGCTGGTTAAGCAATAACTTTAAAAACACTGTACTCAGAAAAGTCATTACGACAAAATCTTGCTTCTTCTGTTGAGTAATTACAACAAAACCTTGCTATTAGGCTATTTAGCAAGTCTTTTCGTTAACTTTTTGTACTTTTCTTGCAAAAATAATCAAATTTGCTCAAATCACTCTTGAATTTGCTTGAAAGTGAAGCGAAATTGACAAAAAGATGCGAAAATTGAGCAATAAACACTTTATTTAGAGAAAAGCATAATTTAATTAGTGAATTGGTTATTTTTTGAAGAAAAGAAATGGGAATTTGTTATTTTTCAACGAAAAAAAACGAAAAGACTTTCTAAACAGCCTAATAAAAAGCTTTTAAAGAAATTTACTATCGGAGGAATTCTTCGAATAAACTTTGATCAAGAAATTTGAAACAGAATTATTTTTATTTCCAGCGATCTGCTATCCGATGGAATACGTGCAACGAACGGAGTTGATGGGAATGGCGGCGCGGATACCGAACATTCTCATGCATTACCTCACCTGGGTCGGCCTTTCCGCGTCATCGATTTCACTCATTTTACTCAACGTCGACAAATTGCTTTACTTCAAGTACCCATTGAGGTAAAAGAAAGAAGAAAATCTTTTAATAAAGCTTTCCCAGATATTCCTCGGTGATGAATCGATCAAAAGGGATCGCGATTGTGCTCGTCGTTTGGATTTCGTGTTTCGCGTTTGTTTTGGTCGCCTGGTTGACGGAGAGTTTCAAGTGAGTTTTTTTCCTCATAAATAATACAGTCAAATTATCCTATACTGATCCCAATCCAATGCTATGATACTATAAATTCGAATTGTTTAGAATGCGACTTAAAAAAAGTTGTTTATAGGCTAAAAATTCAATATCTACCTTAACCATTTAACATTTTTTTCAACATTTCCTTTTTTTAAAACTTCTGATGTATGTTTTCCGTTAAAAGTTCTTTGAGGGATCACGTGCCATTTAGAAAAAAGTAAATCTCCAATCCAATATTTCTAGAAAAATCCCATGATTGGATCAGAGGAAAAAGTGAATCTAAAAACGGAATGAATCCAATCGTTGAAATAATCCCTTTCCTCCCACAATTTTTCCCCGATTAATCCGAAAAGGAAATGGATATCCAATGTAGTGAAAAAAAGATAAGGAAATGTTATTTTTTTGGATAAATGGTATAAGGAAATGAAAAAATGGAAAAAAAAAAATGAAAAAAACAGGTTTTAAAATAAAGGTTAACCAGATTTTTGGTTCTAGTACTAACGAGGGAAGGTCAATTGGATAATGGAATCCCTATTTTAGGCTTCAAATCCCTTGTAAATGATCTTAAATCCTTAAATGATCTTAAATGAAATATAGTAAGAATCTGAAATATTCAATTTATATCTAGTAGTTATAGAGTTACTGAATATCAAGCTCTTTTTTTTTTCAGATGCGGGGATGCGGAGTGTTTCTATTTGGATCTCTTCGAGGGGAACGCCGCGATTTATGTCGTTTTTTCGGTGAGTTGATTCGAATTGGATTCGAAAAGCGAAAAGCTGATTTTTTTTTGCAATAAAAGTAAGTAGTTTTTCTCAAGTTTGCGTTTTTAAAAACGCATTACTCGCAAGGAAAACACTCTTGCTACAATGCCTACAACACTTGATGCTAAATTTTCACTCTTCGTTCGCTTTTTTTTGAAAGTACAAGAGACTTTTTGTGTATGACGCTGAATCATTTATTTTTCTTGTGAAAAATCTTGTGAAAAGCAAATGCCTAAAAGAGTCTATTTTCTATGGCGTGCTTTGAATTTCCTCTCGGTGATGGTAATGGGAAATTTTTCGGGAAAGAATTGTTCAAAAGATGAAATTCACAAAACGTTCAAAAATTTAAAAAAAACAAAAGCCCTTTTAACACCAAGACCAAGAGCCACTTAAAGTTATTTTAAAAATTGAGTTGAAAAGTCTTTTATTAAACCTGTATCTGTAACCGTAAGAAGCTAGGCCTGGATTTGGCTTACGAATCTAGAGACTGATTAGGATATTGTTATAGCATAATTAAATGAATCAGCAAGTAAAAAGAATATAAAAGTATCCCCAAACTACTTGAATAACAGATTCTTGTTTAGATCTCGGTGTGCATTCTTCCCACTTTGACAAGTTTCTGTGTGGCGATGTACATCTTGAGGATTGTCACAATGCACAAGAAGCAGCTGGCTGAAGGTGGGTGATCTCAAAGTAGTTTGTAGCTTACTGAAAACATTGTAGTCAAGGTACAGTAACTTTCAGTGTATGTTTGCTGGAAAAGATTTGATTTAATAAAACTGATCTCTGTCTCTTTTTCCCAAGAAAACTTGTTTTTAGGAGAAATTCGAGAATTTGAATTTAAAATGAGTTTTTGCAAAAGATATAAGTGATCTAAAAAGGTGAGCAATCTGATGAATAAGTTAAAATTGGGAATTTTTAAATTTTTAGATATTAAAGCTCCCAAGCTTATAAAAGCTTATAAATGCAAATTTTTAGAGCAAACCCTTTGCGGAAATCCCTCTCACGTCCATCAAACGTTCGCCTCTCGAATCCGAACATTTTACTTCATCTTCATGACGACGATTTTCACAGCATGCACTCTATTACCATTGAGGATTATTAGTGAGTTTTAAAAAAAATAGGTATAGATATATTTATCATCTTTAAATATAATAAACATCTTTAAAATCTAATCAATCACCATTTTTAGACCTAAAACGAACGCTCGCTCCACCGAACAAATCCGAGATCGAGTGCTGGTCGATTTTAAGTCGATGGTTGATGCTGTATCTTGTGCAATTGAATGCGGTTAGTTCGCTTAAGATATTCGGCTAATAGGATACGATAATGCAGTCGCAGATTAACTAAATTGGCGAAAAGTTGAACGAATTGTTAAGCTGTGAAAAGAAATTGCATTCAACAACGGTTACAACAAGGTGAAGAGAATATTGAAGGGAAAAAAAAGAGGTGGCAGGGCAAGTTTTTAGAGTTTTGGCTATGTAGAAATTGGTAATGTAACTGGTGTAAATCTATATCTATATCTATGATATGCCTACAGTAGATACAACAAAAAAAAACAATAAATATAATAGCTCAAACCTGCTGTCTTCTGTTCTTTACATAGAATTGGTAGTTTAGTTTTTAAATTAAATACATTTATTCACACAAATAATATGATATAAACAATACACAAGCACCCCTTAAGCCCCCCTTAAGCCCCAAAGGTAGGGAACAATAATGAGTTGAATGAAATTTTTGTCTAAAAACTACTTTTATACCCACAGAATATAGTAACCGCAAGATCCGACGTGAACAAGCCAGTTTATCTAGGTCACAAAGTCGACAAAATACTGATATATTTGGGAAAAAGAAGAAATAACCCAGCTGGCGGCATTGAACCCTTGACCTCCCGACTATGATACGAGGCTCTTAGCCAGTCGGCTATGGTGGATATAAACACCGCCGATATAAACTCGCATATAGCTTATCTATTTCCAATCTTTCAGATCATCAATCCACTTCTAACAGTCACCGTATTGCCCCAGTATCGAGCTCGCATCTGCCGGAAGCTTTTCGGGCTCAGCGACGGCTCCGAAGCCCACACCAAAGCTGTCAACGCCACACAACTATGAACATTTCCATAAGTTATATTTTATATAATATGACAAGTATATATGTATGTATATGTATTTTACATGTTTTAGATCAAATTCTCGCTGTGACTCATTGAAAATCTTCTTATTCTCAACCATTTTTTCCAAGAATTTCCCCTCCAAATCCTTTCTCTATTCATCCAATTGTTCGGGTCGCTTTTTTTTTGTATCATTTTCATTTTTGATTGTATAATTTCTCGAGAAATTTTATTTATTTTGACGTTACGAGTTCGCAGAAATAAATGGAAAACTTCAAAAAAAGCACACAAATTTTCATACAAATCACAAGGTTACTGTAGCTTTTGACTGCGAGATTACTGTAGCCATTTCGCATAGCTTAAGCTATTCAGCTAATAGGGTAAAGTAATGCAGTGAAAAGCTGACACAAGAGACACGTATTTTGCGGGGGTTAACGGGTGTAAGATTTTCGAGATCTTTGGAATAGTTTATAGGAAAATGATTGAATACAATTGATGAAACAATAGAATTAAAGAATCCGGATCAGGGGAAAGCGGAAACGCAAGCGATCTAGTGCACTGAACTGGTCCCTAGTGCACTGAACTGGTCCCTAGTGCACTGAACTGGTCCCTAGTGTACTGAACTGGTCCCTAGTGTACTGAACTGGTCCCTAGTGCACTGAACTGGTCCCTAGTGTACTGAACTGGTCCCTAGTGTACTGAACTGGTCCCTAGTGCACTGAACTGGTCCCTAGTGTACTGAACTGGTCCCTAGTGTACTGAACTGGTCCCTAGTGCACTGAACTGGTCCCTAGTGCACTGAACTGGTCCCACTTTCTCAACGGCGCTTAAAACCACCGTAATCTTTATCCATGCATACTCTATCCTTTACCCTATCGACAGTATATTTCTCTAAAGTGATTTTCTAAAAGTTCTAAAGTTCTAAAGTTCTAAAAGATAATCGGATTGTCGGAAAGAGTCCTTTGAAATAAATGCATTGTATTGTATTGGAGATGGGGAAATGAGTAATGGAATTACACGAATTCTCTTATTTTTTTCTCTTTCCTCTTTTTTTTCACTTTCCTCTCTTTCCAATTGTACTCGAGTGATTCATATGTAAATTTTTGGTGTCAATGTGGAGAAAAAAACCACAATTTGGCTACGCTCATTTCACCAAAAACATCCACTACCATTCATTCAAAATATCGCGATCTCTTTTTTGGATTTTTGAACTCTAAATTCTAAAACCTTTAATACATTCAGGCGGTTTGCCAAATGGCGAGCGATTACGTGGCCGCACAAAGAAAACCTCGGCAGTAATTTACCTAGGGATCGCTTTGTAGGTGATACAAAAAGAAATTCAGCTGGAAATTTGTACCCAGGTGTTTGGGGAATCGATTGGCGCTATTCATTTTATGAAAAACCCTGCCATTACAACCCTATCAGGTTCATTGCTTAAACCACTTCTGCCAATTTACCAAAGCTCATTTTTCCATGCATTCCCATTGAATTGACATGGGAACGACTGGGAAATGAGCGATAAATTTGTTGTTTAAACAATTCATTGTTTAAACCACTTCTGTTAATTTACCAAATCTCATTTTTCCATCCAGTCCCATTAAATTGAGATGGGAACGACTGGGAAATGAGCGATAAATCCCCGCTTCAAAAAAAGAGTGAAATCTCTAAAAATGGAAACATGCAAAAGCGTCATTTCGTCCAGAAAAATTCCAAAAAATTCCAAAAAAAAACTTTCAAATGCAAACGCTTCCTGGAAGTCGCTTTTTTGGGGGGAAGGGATTCACTTTTTTTTTTCTCATCAAGCCGTTTCGTTTATAGATAAACTTATGAAAGATAAGCTAAAAAGGGATAGATTAAATACCGTATTCTCCGTAATAGTAGTGCACTCTCTAATAGTGTTGCGGTCCAGGAGGGGGTTCAAAAAATAGTAGTGCGCACCACTATTAGAGAGAATACGGTAAACTAGAGACAAGTTTACGGTAGTCGAGAAAGCTGGCACGTTTTTTTCAAACGCCTTTAGTAGTGCACATCATTTGAGTTTCCATTTCCACCTTAGCCTTTAACAATTACAAAAAAACAATGTGAATGTGAGACATCAACTTGAAAATCGACTTGATTTTCAAGTTTACAACTGAAAAAGTCTAAAAATTAAGATTTTCTTTGATTGTTGGACATTTGATACACATTGCGATTGACAATCCAACTTTGAGCTCAAATTTCTTAGTGTTGCGCTGTTCAATTGAAATAGTTTTTGCACCAATCGACAGAGAAAGACTTGGCACAACTAATGGTACCAAGAATATTTAAATTCGATAGCCCAACACCAAAGAAATTTGAGCCTAAAGTTAGATTGTCAATGGGAAAAGGTGCGGGGCGCGTATCAAATGTCCGATAAGCGTTCCATCATTACGTCACTTGAGTGAGTCTTTCGGTTTCCGTAATCGATGCTGTAGGCGCTCCTTCGCGTCGCTGTTGCAAATCTTGAACCATTCTATAGTGTGCGAGAGAATAGCGGAAACGAGGCGGAGTATCGGGACACGAAAGCGATCTCCCCAATGAGGGACGAGCTGTACTCCCACGTGAGAGACACCATTGTTCCGTTGAGTCGGGCATCTGAAAAGTTTTGAGTTTTTCTTTCGGCTATTGAATACAATTGATAGCCAAAGGAGAGCTTAAACACATATCAGCAGCTCAAGAGCTCATATCAACAGCTCAAGAGCTCATATCAGCTTAAACTATTGCTAAAAATATTTTATTAGGCTGGCGCTTAAATCTTTACAATTTTTTTCCATAGAAAAGAGTCCTTTAACAAATTTTTTGCGTCCTAAACTATTAAAATATTAAAAATTAAAAAGATCTATCATTTCTCTGCAAAATGGCTTTTGAGAGAAAGCTCAAACTTGCCTCAACTCGGTAAAAACTTTGTGAGCCTCAACTTTGTGTAAAATTTTCAATTCCTGTTTTAAAGAAAATCGCTGAACAGATTGTTTTCAAATTTTACTGACTTATGTAATCAAATAAGCTCTATCTTTTTTTACTAGGCACCAATATAGGTTTGTATTGAAGAAAATGTCCAAATTGCGACTCGAAATCCACAAAAACAACTATTTCCAAGCCATTTTGCGGAAAAACAATTAACCCTTTTAATAGTTCAAATAGGAATTTTGTTGGTGGCGGCATTATTTTTAAGAGATGTTTGGAAAAAAAAATTGCAAAGACTTATGCACAAACGTAATACAAGTAATCCGATCCGGATTCTAAGTTTAATTCCATTTTTTTTTAATTTGGCTAAACCTTTGACTGTAGAATTGTTTAACTCTTGACGAACCTGTTGTCGAACGAGCAAACTCCTCACTCCCACATAAATTTCATTGTGTCTCAAAGCGTACACGACGACGTTCAGCGTTGGGTTCATGATCGCGATCTGGAAACGAGTTTTTGAATTATTTGCAATAGGAAGGGATGATGAGCAGAGTTAGTCTAAAAGCAATTCCCTAGGCCTTTAGACTGCCTGCAATGCCTACAAAGCCCTCTGACTTCTGGCAGACGTCTGACCTGGTTTACTAGGTCTACTACAGGTTTGGCTAGGTCTACTACAGTCCTGGCCCACAAAAAGCCCCTGACCCCACCAGAAGCTTGATCTTGACCTGATTTCTGTTCTTGCCTTTCCCTACCTGGCTTGGCTTAGAGATTAGAGCATTCCTGGTCTCAAGACTTAAACATCTCTCTCACCTTGACAGTGATGAGATAAGCTGTATCCAATAAATGTCGATGTTTACTGTCGACCGGTGTGAAAGCCGATATGCAGAAAACGGTGACGAACGGGAGAACGACAAGGCAAAGAGTCATCAATGAAAAGATCGAGAACGTGCGCATCACTCGGGTCTGTTGTCGCGCCACCACGACACCGCTTTTGCTCTCTCTAAAATGTCTTTTTTGTTCAAAAAACACAATTAAAGTTAAAATTTTCGAGTTTCCTAAACTTAAATCTTACTTGTTTTTAACAATTTTATCAGTGCCCGAGTCTTTTGTTAAAATTTTCACCTCCTCAGCGGTCTCTCCTTTGCATAACAATGGAAATGAGCGATGACGATGGCGAAGATTCCCACAGCCAACAAATGTGAGAAAACAATGCAAAGGGATTCGAACAATTTGTAGCCATGGGAGAATACTTCTCTAGAAAATGGAGATTCGTGTTTGAAATAAAAACAAAAATGGCAAATTGTTTATTTTGGGAGTAGATAGACGGCCAATGTTTGGTCGACTTCGAAATCAAACAGGCAGCTAGCTATTGTTTTTACTCTTAAATCCAATGTTCCTATGAGAACAAAAAGTCAATTATAGGAAGTGAATCCACTGGGTTCTTGTCACCAACCGAGTATCACATCTCGCCGAAATGAATCGATTCTCGAAAGCTGCTTCCGCGGAAGCATACGTAAAACAGAAAACGTAGAAAAAGATTGAGAAAGCGCCGACAATTCTGAAATATTGAGGGATATTATTAACCATATTACTTGTCCAAAAAAAATCCAACTCACTTAGCATAATATCCTTTGTACGCCTCTTTGACCCGGTATTGCAGCGGTCGGCTGATGGCCACCAAACGATCGATGGCGATGAATGGAAGGAGAATCGAGCCGACACAAGGCACACCGGCGAAGAGAATACAATGAGGCAATCTAAAATGCTATTAGTAAAGCATTGGTGTTTAGAAAATCTCACTTTAGACACGACATTTGTGAGATGAGCTCCGTCGCTTTGGCTCCCACCGATAGCCGATAAATGCCGGCCGAGAGGAAACCGAGACTCATCAAAGCGTTGAATAACACGAGAAATGCCAACAGCGAGTATTCCTTGAATGTGAAAAAAGGTTTATAATGAAACACGGATTTTAGAAAGTTCCAGACACTTGACTTGCCCAGGCTCTTGATTAGCCAACACCCAACCGTAGCACAACAGTACCCGAAACGAGACAAGAGACTATGACTTGCAACTCTTGCAAAGAGACTAGTTCAACTGAGTTTAGGTTAGATCAGGTAACTGTACTATTGGGCTGGGAAGTATGAAATTTCTCAAAAACTGTGCATCAGATAGAGATAAAATTTTGGCGTATAATCAACAAAACTCCAATTGTTATTAGAAAAAAGTTTGAGAAGAAGTTATGGTTTAGTTTTTTTCGAAAGTTCGTCCGAAGGTGCCGCCATTTCATACTCTTCAATCCAATAGGTTAGGCCAGCAGTAAATCCTGCCCCGGTTGGGTCATCCCTGACAAGTGACACGCATATCTGTCTAGGGATGGTCTTGGCCAGCGTCAGGTCAGAACCAGGCCAATAGCCAGGCCCTGGGTCCGGTTTCACCAAAACACCAATTTAACATTTAGCAAAATTCAATTTTTAGCTCCAGTGCTTGATTTTACCCTACCACTTTTGTTATAAAGTTTTTGTAAGTATTTTGAACCCAAATATGTTTAGGGTTTAATAAAAAGAACATGTAAATATAGGCCTACGGAAAAAAAACCCGATTTAATAAATTTTGTTAAATTTAGCGACTTTTGCAAGATACCCTTTGGCTCTTTGGCTGATTGGCTCTTTGGCAAAACTTGAGTGAATTTAGCTAAATTTAGCAGTTGGCAAAACTAAGTCCTTGCTAATCCAGATACTTTTGTAAGCCAACTAAATTAGACAAATTCGACAAAGCACACTTACCTTATGTCTCCGCAGCGCTCTGTGCATGATGATGGCGGCGAGGATGAGAAAATTCGCGGCCGTGCCGATCACTCCCAAAATGATATATGAGATGTCCTCTTTTGGACGAGCCTCATACGAGAGATAGGTTCCATTACCAAGCATTACACCTGAAAAAAAATAGATCGATTTTAATTGAGAAAGTAAACAAAAAAAAATGTAGAAAAAAAGTGTAGTAAACAATGTAGTATTGTAAAATTTCAAAACAAAATAACAAGCTTTGTACCAAAGTTGGAAATGTTAGCGCGAGAAATTTAAGAATTCGGCGCACCAGAAAGTAAGTTTGCAAGTTTTAGGCACAATACAAAGAAGAGAACCTTTTTGTACAATTTCAAAGCATATGAATATGAAAAAGATGTAAAAAGATGTACTAAAGATTTATGAATGAGTCATTATTGTAATGATTTTTAAAAGAGCCATTTAAGAAAAGGAGAAAAAAATAGTAAAAACGGAGTTTTAAGACCGGAACAAACACATGAAAGAATTCTAGAAGGAAATGAGAGAAATGGGAGAATGGGGGAGGGGGGAAAGAGGGGGGAAGATGTGACGCTTGAAACTGCGAAAATCATCTACCCCATCTCGAGGCGTTTGCCAGATGGTGAGCGATTACCCGGCCGCACAAAGAACACCTCGCAAGTGACAGGGATTTCTCTTTTAAAGTCTTGTACAGCTGGAAAAAGTCTTGTACAGCTGTAAATTTGTATCCGGGTTTTGTCAGACATAAACCGGAAATATAAATGTAATGTATTTGTCCCAAACACAAACTCTAACTTCATTGAATACTCTAGTTTTGGCAATTTGTAATAAGAGAGCCGTAAAAAAAGAGCCGCCGATCGAATGTCCAATTTGGAGTTTCCAAAGACCTTAGACTGGCCCTTTTCCCCAAAAAAATGAAAATTATTCACAACTTGTCACCAATCGCTCAATTGGCTCATTTATGAAATATCGGAGATCCCCTTCATTTCACTCATTTCTTTACTAAAAGGGGATCCTTGTTTAAATCCAATCCACTACGTAAGTATCCCTTTTTGGCTTTCAAAAAACATCATTTATAGCTTTCATTCAGACTGCACTTTGATCATCGCTTTGCTGAAATGGGAAAAAGGTCCACTTGTTCAGGGATCTAACCTAACATGATCTAACACTTGGGCTCATAAGGCTTCAGGCTTATAAGCTAGATTCTGGTTGATCTGATCTTGCAGATCAAGTCCAAACAAGATCAGAATTAGAGCAACATCTGTCAGACATCAGGCTGTCCAAATTCAAGTCAAAGCCAGGCCTAGATTCAAGCCAAAGCCAGGCCTAGATTCAAGCCAAAGCCAGGCCTAGATTCAAGCCAAAGCCAGGCCTAGATTCAAGCCAAAGCCAGGCCTAGATTCAAGCCAAAGCCAGGCCTAGATTCAAGCCAAAGCCAGGCTCAAAAAACAGGTCAAAGCCCAGCTTCAGTTACTAGATATTAGCAGAAGAAAAAGAGCCGAGATGTAAAGGGATCTAACCCTTTCAATCAGTCAGGCATCAGGTCAGAGCTTGGCCAGAAGCCAAACCAAAACTAGACAAGGACTAGGCTAAATTCAGCCAGAGCAAGGCAGTCAGAGCTTGACTCAGGACTTTTAAATCAGACTAGGAAAGCCAGGAGTGATCTGGTCCAGAAAATTCGGTTTCAGAATCCTTTGGTCTAAGCAATGAATCTAAATTGTACCAGAAGCAGGCCTAAAAAAGAAAAGTAAACATTTGCTTTTAATTTCTCGTAGCCTTTTTCTCGTGCCTTTTAAGGCAAAAGCTCTCCGAGGCGGAAAGAAATCTCTGATTGCAGAGAGTTCATTTGGCTCAAAAGCTTGTTTTGATCGCTCTAATGAAAAAAATAACTTCAAAATACGTATATAATGAAAAGAAAAGCAAAAAACGTAAATGAAAAGCTCATTTATTTGATTCCAAAAGTTGAACACTTCACATTTTTTTTTTGGTTTAACTTTTATCCAAATTCACCTGTTATCTGTCTCAACTTTTTCTCGAAATTTCACCTGTTCACAAATTGAAATTTGGTGAGAATCGTGAATAGAAAGTAGAGAAGTAGAGCTTAATTGTCTGGTGAATTTATTGGTCGATTTTTCTCAAACCTGACGTACTGATTAAACTGATTAAAACATTTTTTTTAAAGTTGGAATCATTCAAAATCGAATTACGGTAGTTTCAAGGAAAGATTATGGTAATGTTCAATGGTTGAATGAACTAAAATGTCAAGGGATTGACCAGAGAAAGCACTTTTTCTCTATTTCTCATGAAATCACGAACTTCTTATACAAAAACTTGAGTTCTATTGCGTGCGAGGAAACCGGAAAGTGCAAAAATTTGACTTTTAACTGATTTACTTATGAGAGTTGCAGTTTTTATAAAAAGAATTCGTCTAAGATCGGGAATTCAAAAGAGAATCATGTAAAAGAACTTGTTTAACTTTGAGCATTTCGATAAACTTTTGAAAAAGCTGTAGTAAAGAAGTGAAAGAATTGTAGGTTAGAATTGTGGGTTAGAATTGTGGGTTAGAATTGTGGGTTAGAATTGTGGGTTAGAATTGTGGGTTAGAATTGTGGGTTAGAATTGTGGGTTAGAATTGTGGGTTAGAATTGTGGGTTAGAATTGTGGGTTAGAATTGTAGGTTAGAATTGTAGGTTAGAATTGTAGGTTCCCTGGATTGAACCCTCAACCTTTTGTTTACAAGCAATTAATTTAACCATTCATTTAAAGATACTGTAAAGTGTCAATATCAAATCTCTACAGTCCATTAGGTATACTGCAACTTCGCTATCATTTCGCTATCGTTGATAGCAACAAGTTGTTAGCAGGCTTGGTTACTTATGATTTTAACATAGAGAAAAACAAAAAACATTATTTAAGGACGAGTTTTGACTTCAAACTTTTGAGATGTAAAACATTTTAAGCACAATTTCCTAAGACAATATAAATCGTGTTTTTTTACGAAGCTTCTAATAATTTCTGACAATTTCTAACAATTTCTAACAATTTCTTTTTTACATACAGCTGACTAATCACCATCAGACAGTCAACAATTCAAAAAAAAAAATTATTTCGCAAAAGTCATCTGTGAAACTAAACAAAAAAAAACTATGGCTAAGGTGTGCTTGGTGTTGAGAAAAAGGAGCCTAAGTGGTTTGGGTAAAGAAGGATGTGCCGTGTGAAAATGAGGAGGACACTCGTGTCAAAAAGGAAGAAAAAAATGGGATACGAGAAGATGTGAGAAGTCGACCCCCTCAATGCAAACAATGTTGTGTTGTTAAAAGAAGAGATTCGTTCGAGAAGAGGGACACGAGGTGTGCAACAAGAAAGCACAAGTTTCTGTATCTTTCCGATTCTCAAATCCCTTTATCCTCTGTAGATTCCCACTTCTCTTCTCTCCTCTTCTCTCCTCTTCTCTTCTCTTCTCTTCCTCTCCTCTCCTCTTCTCTTCTCTTCAACAATAGCACAATGTCTCGTGAACTAGAATCTAGCGCTTTTAAACTCTTGAATATCAATTTCCAATGAATGAATTAGTAAATTAGAAGTTCAAGCTTGAAGATTAGTTATCTGGATCAGTTATATATTGGAGCTGGAAGTATGAAATGGTCGACTCAACGCTCTGTGTAACAATTTCATACTTCTTTTCAGCCATTCACTCATTTCATTCTTACAGAATATCATCTTCATATATCCAATTTCTTTCTCGTCAACATAGCCATAAGCCTTTCCTGTCAATTTAGAGTGATTAAGCCGGAGCTGATCCGACTGATTATGAGGGAATTCTGTTGGGAATGTGTTGGACCTCTAAGCTCATCTTGACCTAGCCATGCCCTTACAGAAGCAAAGAAATGGCTAGGTTTGGTCCAAACTTGTAATGGTAATGGCTAGGGTTTTGTCCAGCCTTGTAATGACCTAGTCCTGGCTTAACCCATGACCTAATACTGGTCTAGTCTTGGTCTAATTCTAGCAAATCCTGGCCTAGCCTAGTCTGACCTGGTTCTGGCCTCGTTTGGTCTTATTTTGGTTTAACTTTTACCTGGCCCAATCAATTCAAAGTCCAGTTCAACTAATTGACAAGTTGATGACTTTTGACGATAAGATAACGAGAAGACAAGAAGAAAAGTTGGTGGTAATGGTTCATAGGCTATCGACGAAGTAAAGCCAAAGCCTCACATTCATCGACTTCACTAAAGCCTCACATTAATCGACTTCAGTAAAGCCTCACATTAATCGACTTCAGTAAAGCCAAAGCCTCACATTAATCTAGATAAGTTCAAAATGGTTGCTAACAACTGGTTGAGTTAAAAAAAACGTAACACTTCAAAAGTTATCGCACAATAATTGCAACTTTTAAAGTAAAGAACTTTGCTGAACTTTGACACTTCGTCAGAAAAAAAAGAATACAAACATAATTATCTATTCGAAAACAGAAAGTATTTGAAATTGGAATGGGAAATGTGGGGGAGGTGTCAGTGTTGACTCTTTTTTGGGCAATGGGTAATTTCACCCATTTTCGCGACTACTCCTAGTCACTTTTCCCTCGTGAAGCAGTGGGAACTTTTCGAGGACCCGAAACGGACAAAATTAAACTCTAGAAATGGAAAAGTTTCAAAAGCTGATGTATTCGTTGGTTGTAAAGTAGTGGAGATATTCTATTTGTTTGCACATAGTAGCTCGAATAGCTGCTAGTAGCTCGAATAGCTGCTAGTAGCTCGAATAGCTGCTAGTAGCTCGAATAGCTGCTAGTAGCTCGAATAGCTGCTAGTAGCTCGAATAGCTGCTAGTAGCCGATAGCGCAGTAGCCGAATAGCTGCTAGTAGATCGGATAGCGCAGTAGCGGATAGCAGTAGATCGGATAGCGCAGTAGACGGATAGCTGCTAGAGATCGGATAGCTGCTAGTAGATCGGATAGCTGCTAGTAGATCGGATAGCTGCTAATAGACCGGATAGCTGCTAGTAGATCGGATAGCTGCTAGTAGCTCGGATAGCTTCTATTCCAAGTACTATGGTACTCTGGCATCGACATGGCTTGCCTGGCTTGACCCGACCCTAGCCTTGAGCCTGGCTTGACCCGACCCTAACCTTGTTCAGGT